TCAGGTGTCGTGGAGCCTTCGCGTCGTCGCCGTTCCAATCCCTGAGATTCAGCTGCCCCAATCCTGGTTCATCGATGGGCGCTGAGCTAATCACTATTTTTCCCACACTCGCCCCTTCCACAAGGCGTTGCTCCTTGTCCTAGGCACGGTGTCGTCCTTCCAAGACCCTCAGTGGATGTGACCCGGTCACAGCTAGGTTTGCCCGCCACACCTTTTCTGACCCTCAACGTCCAACGTCGCCGCCCTGCGTCGTCGCCGAATATTTTCCAAGTTTGGCCCTCTTTCGCTCAATAAACTTGGTTCCTTTTGCTTCCCAGAAGCGCGCGGGTCTCCAATATATCCGATGGGGTGCAATAGCCAGCACTAATCCACCAAGAAAGGCTTGTAGAGCCTCTAATCCTGGAGAGCAGACCGAGGCGCGTCCTGTCGCTTCCAAGGTCGGATCAACTCTGACGTTGGCGCCGCCCGGGGCACTCGGTGACGTCATGGCTGGCCCTGATTGGTCGCCCGCGACCTAAGTCGGCCAATCCGCGATCGGCTAGTGTCCCTTCTAAAAGGTCATATCTGCATTAGGGGATACTACTATACAGAGGACAACAAAGAAATTAGTGAAATTCTAAGAAGCTAGTATGAGGCTTTGTTTAGCATACCAATAAACAACATGAAAGTTGATGACCCAGACAGCTTCTTTATGAATGACAATCAAGCTGAAGACAATATAACGGATATTAACACGAACTCGGAAGACTTTGAAAGAGAAATTGACAATATGCCCATGCACTCAGCTCCTGGGCCTGACTCATGGAATTCAATATTCATAAAGAAATGTAAAGTACCAGTAGCTTGAGCACTCAGCGTAATATAGAGAAAGAACCTGGATACAGGGGAGATACCAGCTGCACTTAAATCTGCAGATTTAGCTCCGCTGCACATAGGGGGTAGTAAAGCCTTGGCAAAACATTATAGACCAGTTGCACTAACATCACACATAATAAAAGTTTGTGAAAGAGTGATTAGGAATCAAATTTCTAGTTTTATGGAAAATAATGAGCTACACAACCCAGGTCAACATGGATTTAGAGCAAGAAGATCATGTCTGTCACAGTTACTCAACCACTATGACAAAATCACTGAAGCTTTACAAGAAAAGCAAAATGCAGATGTTGTGTACACAGACTTTGCAAAGGCATTCGACAAATGTGACCATGGAGTGATAGCACACAAAATGAGGTCAATGGGAATAACTGGTGAAGTAGGACGCTGGATACTCAATTTCCTGTCGAACAGAACAAAAAGAGTAACAGTCAATCAAATAAAATCGAGTCAAAGCGCAGTTAAAAGCTCGGTACCTCGAGGTACAGTCCTTGCACCACAGCTGTTCCTTATTCTCATATCAGATATAGACAAAAATACAAGTCACAGCTTCGTGTCATCCTTTGCAGATGACACAAAAATCAAATGAAAATTACCTCTGCTGAAGACATTGAAAAATTACAAGCCAATATCAACAAAGTTTTCGATTAGGCAGCAGGAAATAACATGATGTTTAACAGTGATAAATTCCAGGTACTCCGGTACGGCAAAAATGAGGATCTGAAACATAATACAGGATACAAAACACAATCGAATCTGCCCATAGTAGGAAAACAGCATGTCAAGGATTTGGGAATAATGATGTCCGACGATCTAACATTTAGGGAGCATAACCAAGCAAATATTGCGTCAGCCAGAAAAATGATAGGATGGATTACGAGAACTTTCAAACCCAGGGATCCCATCACAATGGTTGTACTCTTCAAGTCACTTGTGTTGTCCCGTCTCGAGTACTGCTCAGTACTCACTTCCCCCTTCAGAGCAGGAGAGATTGCTGAAATAGAGGGAATACAGAGAACATACTCGGCACGCATGGACGTGATAAAGCACCTAAATTATTGGGATCGTCTCAAAGCTCTCCAAATGTACTCACTAGAAAGGAGACAAGAGAGATACCAAATAATATATACATGGAAAATACTGGAGGGCCAGGTCCCTAATCTACACAGTAAAATGACAACGTACCGGAGTGAACGATCTGGAAGAAAATGCAGAATAGAACCAGTGAAGAGCAGAGGTGCCATAGGCACAATCAGAGAACACCATATAAACATCAGAGGTCCGCGGTTGTTCACCGTCCTCCCAGCGACAATAAGAAATATTGCCGGAAAAACCGTGGACATCTTCAAGAGGAAACTAGACTGTTTTCTAAAAAAAGTTCCGGACCAACCGGACTGTAGTGGATACGTGGGCCTACGGGCCGCTCCAAGTAACAGCTTGGTGGACCAAACCCTCACAAGTAAAGCCTGGCCTAAGGCCGGGCTTGGGGAGTAGCAGAACTCCCAGAACCCCATCAAGCAGGTATCAAGTAGGTACCCAGACCTGGCCGTCACCTTATATATGCATATTATGCACACCTCCCATTGTCACTACTTGCACCCACACGCTGTAACAACCTTATACATGCATATGTTGCCCACCACCTACTGTCACCACCTGCCCCCCTACCCTGCTACAACCTTATTGATACATAAGCTGCACACCTCCAACTGTCATTTCCTGCACTCCCACTCTGACACAACCGTATACATGCACAGCTCCCAATGTCAGCTCCGGCACCACAACCCTGCCACTCCTTTTACATGCATATGGAGCACACTTTTCACTGTCACGACTTGCACCCACACTCTGTAACAACCTTATACATGCAGATGATGCACACCTCCCACTGTAACCACCTGCACCAGTACCGTGCCACATTCGTATACATGCATATTGTGCACACCTCCCACCGTCACCACTTGCAACCCCCCCACCTTCCACAACCTTCTTTATGCATACGGTACTCACTTCGCACTGTCACCACCTGCACTAACACTCTGTAACAATTTTACACATGCATATTGTTCACACCTCCCACTGTCACCATCTGCACCACCACACTGCCACATTCTTATGCATGAATGTGAGGCACACCTCCTTCTGTCACTACCTGTACCCTCCCTCTGCCAAATCCTTACATTTAAATGGTGTCCACCTCCCACTGTCACCAATTGCACCACCACTCTGCCACAACTTATACATGTATATGGTATACACCTCCCAATGTAACCACGTGTATCCTCCACGTTATACATGCATGTGGTGCACTTCCTACCCACTGCACTGCCATCCACCACCACCTTATACATGTATATGGTATACACCTCCCAATGTAACCACGTGTATCCTCCCTGCGTCCACGTTAAACATGCATGTGGTGCACTTCCTACAGTTGCCACCTGCACTGCCATCCTGCCACCACCTTATACATGCATATGGTATACACCTCCCACTCTAACCACCTGCATCACCTCCCTGCCACCACGTTATATATGCATATGATGAACACTTACTATTTTCACCACCTGCACCGCCACCACCCTGCCACCACCTTATATATGCATATGGTGCTCACCTCCTACGGTCACCACCTGCACCACCACCCTACCACCACCTTATACATGCATATGGTGAAGACTTACCATTTTCATCAACTGCACCCACACCCTGTCACAACCTTATTCATGCATATGATGCACTTTTCTCATTGTTACCACCTGCACCCCTACACTGCCACATCCTTATACATGCGTATGGTGCACACCTCCCAATGTCATCACTTGCCTCACAACCTTGCCACAAAGTTATGCATCCATTTGGTGCACACCTCCCAATGTCCACAACGTTATACATGAATATGGTACACCACTCCTACTGTCACCACCTGCACCACAACCTTGCAACAACGTTATACATGCATATGGTTCACACTTCCCACTGTTGCCACCTGCACTCCCATCCTGCCTTATACATGCATATAGTGCCCACCTCCCACTGTCACCACCTACTCCACTACCCTCCTACAACCTTATTCACATATATGGTGCACATAGGTTAAGTTAGGTGTTTAGGTTTTGTTGGTGTTTATTTGTATTTGCAGTACGTGGGGGAAGCATTTATAGCATTGTGGTTCCAACAAAATTCGTTAGTGAAGCACTTGTTCCGGAAGTGTTCGAACGAAATCAGTTGTGAGTCGTGTGTAAACCATTTTTCATTCATAAACAGAGAGTTTGGCGGGTGCATGGAATCACTTTTGGGTCTTTGTTTATAAGACGGGCTGTTAGCTCAGCCCGTCCTCCAAACAAAGATCCAAAAGTGATTCCATGCCCCCGCCAAACCCCCTGTTTATGAATGAAAAGCGCTTTACACACGACTCACAACTGCTGACGTTCGAACATATCCGGAACAAGTGCTTCACTGACGAATTTTGTTCGAATCACAACGCTATAAATGCTTCACCCACGTACTAAAAATACAAATAATCGCCAACAGAACCTAACCACCTGACCTAACCTATCCTATGCCTATATATACACAATATGCTAATATATTATAATATTAATTTATACTTGAGAAAATTCCAGTTTTGAATGAACAGCATGTTAAAATTTATGAATGCGTCTGTGGGGTTGACCGCTGAATGTAATGGACTTGAGTCGAGGACGGGTTGGTTAGCTGACGATTTCTGTTCGAATCGCTACTCCGTAAATGGTTCACGCATGTACTTTAAATACTAATAACCGTCAAGAGAACCCAATCTAACCGAGCCTATGCCTAACTATACCTAGAAATTTTATAATTAATAATACTAATTTATATATGAGAACAAATAATATTTATTATTTTGAAATCAATACGTTAAAATTTATGAATGCGTCGTAGGTGACGACCGGCGATTGAACGAACTGACGTGAGAACAGGTCGCCTGGTACTGGGCGCAGTTTGAGGTTCGCGTTACTGGCTGGTGGGCTACGTCTTGAGTTGTGTTCCTCCTTTAAGGCGTTCTCGAATAGCTAAAGTAAGTTGAAGTGGTTCTCACAACGCGTGTCATACGGCTGTTTACAACCTGTTCTCTAATTTTTGTTTATTGGAACATGGTTCATCACTGAGGTTGTGTTCCGGCGGTACACTGTAATGACTTTGATTAGTAAACTTCTGCCCCGGTACGTGATGTGGTTTTCAAAGTTCAGCCACATAACATGACTAGTTCACTAAAGTCCCTTCTGTTGAAGGGTATTACTTCATTAAAATTTCTGATGGGGGGTTTACCTACTGGCCCGTCGACAAGCAGACTAAATACTCTGCACGTATCTGTTGCAAAAGTAACTAAAGGCATATAGTAGGAACTGAAAGTTTGTGTTGGCCCGTATTAAACCTGAAAATATACCCCAATTATGTTGTAGACATTAAAGTATTTTCACGGCCTACGAATATTGCTGGCAAATATTACTCTATCAGAAATATCAGGTTGACTAAGAGTATGAAATAAGAGTGAAATTAAGAAAATTGAGGAATAGACAAAGATGAGTAAATGGCATTGAACTGTCACGGATAATTCATTGACAATTTGGTTCTGTAAATAAATTCTTTTTATTGAAATATTAATAATTACCTTGATCCAGGTAGCCCTGTGACTGATGCAGTGAACCTAAGTAGTACATAATTCTTGCAGTTTCTTGTAGACGTGTAAGTCTTGACCATCTCTAAAATGTGTAAAAATATATTTTCATTTTAGAGTATTTAGTCGCTAAAAAAATTAATACTGTATTGCGAAATCTGAATCTGGTGTTGTATGCAAGAGGTCGCGAATTTTACTCTACATCTATATAAATAAAAATGTGTGTTTAAAATCGCTAGTCTCCGAAAGCTCTTCACCGATTACTTTGAAATTTTGAGAACTTTCATTCGCATACGAGCTTGTTTATATACATGCTTTATACATGCTACACCGGTGACGGGTAAAAACTTGCTTTTTTCCTAAACGGCACCATCCGTTGAATGTAAAAGCAACATACGATATTCTAAATGTTAAGATTCCATTTCAATGTTTCAAATTGCATTGATAAATAGAATTTTCATAAATTTCTCATTATCTTCATTTTGTTTTTTAATTTTACATTGCGTTGTTAAGAGCTGGTTTTGTTTACTATACTGTTCATTTTGAGCAATTTTTTTTCATTGGTTTTCATTTTTCTTACTGTTAGTCTTATTTTTCAGTGATGGGAACATCAGATCATTTGGAAAGGCATCGGACGAGGGAGTGGGGAATTTGTAGGGAGGACGAGGGGACTGGGAATGGTTGGAAGGACGAGGGAAGAATGGTGTGGAGGATCAGGGGAGGGGACAGGGGAGGGTTGCTGTGGCTTAGAAGCGCATGCCTCAGGAACGCGTGGCCGGGTACAGTTAGTTCTATATATAAATTTAATGTTATTTTATTTTTAAACTAAAAATTTAATTGACTTTACCATAATTTTAATATTAAATTGTTAAATTTGTTTGAAACGTACTTTAGATTTTCATGGTGATACGAAAGTTGCCTCTAATATATTAATCGCATTATAGACCCCATACAGTCGTTTCGGTAATTTAATTAAAAAATAAGGTGGGTAGCAAATTTGGGAGAGGTAATAGATAAGGGATTCATCGGTGGAAAGGCTGGAAAAGATGGTTGCTTTTGCATGTATATCAATATGAGTCTGCCTGTTAGAGGAAAAGGGAGATGGGAAGGACGAGGGTGGAACTGGCGGGATTAGGATCCATAACCTTTACCAGCTACCCTCGTAGAACATCGTGAAATAATAGTTGTGCTATTGACTTTATGTAATACTTCTTAATGAAGGGTGATTTCAATGTGTAATGATTATCGCACAGAAGCCGAAAGATCGCGAAAACTTGGTGCTAAAATATTAACGATGTATGTTTGACAGTGGCTTATGCAGGAGGCGAGGGCGCTGCCAAACCGCAGTACAACATCAGGGAGGATCATGTGAAGGAGGCCCTGAAGGCGGACAAGGGCAGCGAGGCCGTACTAAACTTCTGGCAAATTAAAGACCTTGCTGAGAAGGGCGACAACTTTTCTTCTTCAGTTACCAGCGTCAAAGTCCGGTTCTCCTTGATGGGGGAGACAAGCAAAGTGTCTTATGTGGTAAAAATATGCCCTCCAAGATCTAAAATGGCCCAAGTGGCAGAGTTTCCTTTAAAAATGATGAAGAAAGAAAATGAGTTTTTTCAGGAAATCCTTCCGAAACTCAACTCAGAGCTGACTTCCTTGGGGCACCATAACTTGAGAATGCCAAAGTGGTTCTACACATCATTAGAAGAGAACAAAGAGATGATCTTCTTAGAGGACCTCAGAGATCTGGGCTTTGAAGTGTTTAAAGACTGCAAGGTGGGCCTCGATGAGGCCCATACAAAACTGGTCCTGCAGGAGCTGGCCCGACTCCACGCTGCCTCTCTGCTGCTGAAAGCAAAGATGCAAATCTTGCATGAAGAACCTGACAGCGAGAAAGGCCTGGCTCTCGCTTTCAAGTACATTAATGAAGACTGGACCACTTTAAAGGAAGACGAAGAGGCGGAGCAGAATTCTAAGTGCTCGGTAAGTCTAGTGGAGGCGGAGGCCTTTTTGGCCAAAGATGGCGGCTGCGAGGTGGCGAGGCGATGGTTGGATATGCACAAGAACAAGCCCCTTGATCTTGCAAAGAGCTTTCTGGTCAGACAAACTAAGTTTGATGTAATATGTCATGGCGACTGCTGGGTTAACAACCTACAATTCAGGTAGGCAAAGTTTTAGTTCATCCTACACTTTGTAGATGTATTTTGACTTTAAATTTTGAGAATTAAACTTGTAAGAGACTTTAATGCACTTCATTTTACGGCATGGTTCCGAACATATTCTTACAATGAGGTGTACAAACTTGTTCTACTGTCACTAGCTAGTTTTACTTCATAATTCCAGGTACAATAAAGATGGAGAGCCGGTTGAAGTGATGCTCCTTGACCTCCAGCTGAACCGTCTGGCTTCCCCAGCCACCGACATAAACTACCTCCTCTACACCAGTCTTCACGGCGACAACAGGAAGACCAACTGGCGGAACTACCTCTCCTCCTACTACGACACCTTCAGAGGTGTGATGGAGTCCGGAGGTTTGGGCATGCTTTTCACCCTGGAAGAGCTCCATCAAGAGTACAGGAGCAAGATGGAGTACGGTATGCTGTATGGGTCCATGACGGTGGCGTTGTTGATGAGGGAGAGCCCCAGTTCCCCGGGCTGGATGGGGGGAAGTAAACATTTTCGAACTCGGTTCCTCGCTTTGTATGGTGAACTAATTGAGCAAGAGCGATAACGTCTTAGTGTTGCCCAGTGAAGAAATCTCACGGAATTTACTTGCACCTAATGAATTCGGCCTTGTAGCTGCCTGTGGCAATGTGTGGACACGGATCCTGAAATATCAGTGCCTATGAAGAACCCTTTGCTCCAGGACCTGCCAAAAGTGTATTTAGGTAGTAATTAGTTACGTTAATAGAGTACCAAATGACATGATCAACTTGACAATCTGAGATCTAAAGTCATCTTGTGTATATAAACCTAAACAAAATATTTACTGTCAATGTCACTTGTTCAGAAGGTACTAGATTCCCCCACTGTTCTTTTATGCCAAATGTTAAATCAATAAACGGTATTAATGTTGCAATTATAAAATTAATAGAAAGTTTTATTATACTAAAGTCAGTTGCCTCAACATTTATAGTTAAAATTATCAAATTGAGAAATTGATCTTCACAGTATGAGGGGCTTAAAACATGGCTCCTGTTACGTCCTCGCTCGTCTAATGTCTTGACAACTTCTGTCTGGACAAATATTTTGGACTAGGCAAATAAATGCTCTAAATGGCAACTGTGCAGTGACATCGGTCTTGCCTGCTGCTGCTGCTGCTGCTGCTGCTGCGCTGCTGCTGCTGCTGCTGCTGCATCATCATGGTGTTGTGTAAACCTCCCCATCCGGCCCGTTGGCGTCGTGAGGGGGCTTGGTGGACGGCTGCCGGAGTGTGATGCTCCGTTGGGCAGTCCTGTCCTTTTCTGGCCTTGCACTCCTGCTGCTGTCTTCTCCAATTGTGCCGGATCGCTTTTCCTTATGTTTCTTTTTTATCCCCCCCTCTTCTCCTATCTGCTTGTCGTTTCCTGCTGACCTTTTGCTTGTTTTAGATTATTTCTTTGGACTTCTTCTATTTTGACGGCCGGGTGCTTGAGGAGGCATACTCTTGCACCCGTAGAACTGTAGTACCCAACGTCTCGAGCGAGGGGAACCTTTTATTGTCAATCCCCCTTTCGTCGCTGAACCCGATCTCGACGGACTGACGGTTCTTAAGGTGGCGTTTGTGGGGCGTATACTCACGACGCACCCGTAGGGGGCCCCGGCATGATCGGCGATAGCTTCATTTTGGGTGTCCTGCCTCTAATTGTGGCTCCATGGTGGGTATGGGGGCACATTCGTGGATGAATTTGTCACTTTTCGTCTCTGTCGTTGAATGTTTCCGTTGTACCCTCTCAGGCTCGTGGGGTGGGCGACCAAGCCCCTGAGTCGGCCTGTATTGGAAGACCAGGCTCTGTAGCTCCCGCTGCGTTGGGCCCCGACTTTGCTCCTCCTTTGACCGTCCTGACTTCTTCCTCCAGCTCTCCTCCCTCCTCCTGTGGTTGGGTCGAGCCTCCAGCCCCCGGTGGTGACCACTTCGTCCCCTGGTGTGGCTGTCTTTCGTTGTGACTACTGCGCCTTTTGACCCCTCTCTCTCTCTCTCTAGGGGTTCTCAACGCCGTTCGCGCCCCAACCGCACTCGCTCGATTCCTTCCCGTGCTGATGCGTATCAGGCCTTGTTTGGTCCTGCTCGTGGGCCAAATACTTTGATCTCCTCCCTCTTGATTCTGCGCCTCCTGACTATTTCTCCCTCCATCGGCATCTTGTAGATTCCGTGGATGCGTCTGTTACTTTCAACCCCACTCGTCTCGGTACGCGTGTCGTTGCTGCTCCTTCTCATGATGCAGCTTCCCGCTTGGCTGCCTTATCTTGCCTTGGCGAGATCCCTGTTCGGGTCTCCAAGAACGTTCAGATGAATGCCAGTGTTGGCACTATTCTCCTCCCACCCCATGTTGCAACCAGTGTTCGGAATCTGCAGGATTGCCACGATGATGTTCGGCATATCCTTGATGCCCAAGGCCATTCTGTCCTCCAGGTTGACTCGTTTACTCGTCCCCCTCGTGGTCGTCGCCGTCACCCCCTTCGCGTTGTGAAGGTCACCTTTGATGGTAGGACCCTTCCATCCTCTATCATTCTTGCTGGTGCTAGGTGCTCTGTCTGGAGTATATTCCTTCTCCTCGACTTTGTAACAGGTGCTGGAGGTTTGGGCATGGTGCCCTCCGCTGCTCTGGGACTGTCTCTCTCTGTCCTTAGTGACCTTCACTCCCACACAAAGTCGGAGTGCACTTCTCCCCAAGCTCGCTGCCTCAACTGCGGTGAGGCCCATCCTACCTTCTCCCGTGCCTGTGTCCATTACAAGCTTGAGGCGGCCGTCCTTAACCTGAAGCACCGGGAGCGTTTATCTTTAACTGAGGCGAGGCGCCAGGTTCGCCGGCTCCCGCCTTATACTAACATCTCTTATGCTCGCGTGTTGCGCTCTTCCTCTCCTCGTCCTTCCCACCCCCCCCCCCCCCCCCCCCCTTCCTCAGACTCTCAACCGTTTCCGGGCCTTGGACCCCTGATACGCCCACTGCCCCTCCTCTGTTCCTTTGAGTTCTCTCCCTAGGGGGTCCCCTCCTGGTCCTCTGTCTGGGGTTCCCCTTCTTTCAACCCGGTCTGTCATGTCTCCTGTGTCTTCTTCCTCGTCCCCCTCCGATCCTCCTTCCCATCCTCTTCCTCCATCTATCGGCTCTCCCCACCGCCTGTCGGTGCGGGCGGATGTCCATCGCTCTCCTCAAGGCCGTCGTGTGTGCTCTCGTTCGGCTTCTCCTGTTGAGACACTGGAATCCGTTGCCCGGTACGTAGTTGCTGGGACACCGGTCTCTTTAAGTCAGAAGCGTAAGCCTGGCTCCTCTCCTTCCTCTTCCCCGGCGGGTAAGAAGGCTTCGCTTTCTTCCTCAGGTCCTACTTCTGGCTCTGTTGCTCCTTCCCCTCCCGTTTCAGTGATTGCGCCCCCTGTTCCTGCTATGGAGGTTTCTTTGGCCCCTGCTTCCCTTTCGGTTGCTGCTCTTGCTGGGGTGCGCTCCCCTCCTTCTACTCCCCCTCTTCCTGCTGCTGTCCTTGACTGCTCCTCTCCGTTGTCTCCTCCTCTTCCTCCTCCTCCTCCTCCTCCTCCGGACCCCGCCCGCCCACCTCTGATCTGTTCTCCCGTTTCCTTCCCTCCGTCTTTGCTCAGTTTACCCATGCCCCCCTAACCCTGACTTTGCTGACCCTGATCCCGACCCTAATATTCTTTAACGTGCTCTGTTGCTCTTTGGCCTTTGTTTCTTCCTTGTTCTCTGGTTTTGTCCTTTCTCTTCTCGCCGTTGTCCATTCTCCAATGGAACGTTCGAGGTTATTACGCCAATTTCCTCAAACTCCAACTTCTGATTTCGCGGTTTTCGCCCCTTTGTCTCCAGGAGCCAATGCTTGGTGCTCGTCCTGGTCGTTTTCGTGGCTATTCCTTTCTCTCCCCCCTTCCTCCCCAGCCATTGCTGGGGCTTCTAATTCTTCTGCTCTCTTGATTCGTGCTGATGTTCCCTTTGTTCCTTTACTTTTTCCTTCGCCTCTCCATTGTTCTGCTGCTCGTATCTTTGTGGGGAAATGCTACACGGTTTGTTCCATTTATCTCCCCCCGAGTGTCCCGCTCTCTTCCTGATTTGAAACACCTAGACTCCTTGCCGGAGCCTGTGCTCCTGCTGGGTGACTTCAATTGTCGTAATTCCCTTTGGGGTGACGTTCTGACGAATACCCGGGGTCGCCTCCTTGAGCCGTTTCGCCTCTCTTCTTCCCTGTCTCATCTGAATTCTGGTGAGCCCACTCATTTGGGCTCTCGGACTCGCACCCTTTCTTGTCTTGATCTTTCTCTCTGCTCCTCTTCTCTTTACTTAGATTTCACGTGGCAGGTTCTTGATGACCTCCATGGAAGTGATCATTTCCCCATCCTTGTTTCCTTTTTCTCTTTTCGCCCTTCCCCCTCTTTCCCTAGGTGGCAGTTTGCTAAGGCAGACTGGACCCTATTTACCCTCAGTGCTGCTCTCTCTGACCTCTCCCTTCTGCCTCTCTCTCGCGCTCTCCTCCTTTTTCATGCCACTGTCTTCAACGCTGCCCTCCGCTCTATTCCTCGCTCTTCCTCTCGGGGTCCGCAGAAGTGCGTTCCCTGGTGGAATGCGGACTGTGCTCGGGCTGTCCGCTGTAAGCGTGCAGCCTGGAAGAGGCACCGCCGTAGGCAGACGACCGATTCTTTTCTTTTCTTTCGGAAAGCGAGTGCGGTGGCCCGTAGGGCCATCCGTACGGCTAAACGTGAATGTTGGGCATCTTATGTCTCAACAATTACGTCCGAAACCCCTCTGGCCCAGATCTGAAAGCGTATCCGCAAGATAGCGGGTAAGTTCGTTCCCGATGTTTCACCGGTCCTTCACCTCCATGATACTCTTGTGGCGGACCCGTTGCAGGTCGTTTCCGAACTGGGTTCCCACTTTTCTTCTGTTAGCTCTGGTCTTCACCTTCCCCAATCTTTCCTTCTTCGTAAACCTGTCCTTGAGTCTCGTCCTTTAGATTTCTGCATTCATCTTCAGCTTCCCTATAATGATCTCTTTTCTCTCTCTGAACTTCGTTCTGCCCTGGCCCTCTGCGGTTCTACGGCGGCGGGCTCCGTTGGTATTCATTATGAGATGCTTCGCCATCTCCCTCCGAGCACGTCTCAGTATTTACTGAGTCTGTATAATCGGATCTGGGAGTCGTCGTCAGTCCCTGAGGACTGGCTCGATGCCGTTGTCCTCCCTGTTCGCAAACCGGGGTCTCTGGGTACTTCCCCTAAGGACTTTCGCCCTATTGCTCTCACAAGTTGTGTCTGCAAACTCTTTGAACGTATGGTTAACGTTCGTCTGATGTGGTTCCTGGAACACCATCACCTCCTCTCCCCTTCTCAATTTGGTTTCCGCAAGTGCCGCAGCACGACAGATGTCCTGGTGAACTTGGAGGTCTATATTCGTACTGCTTTTGCTGCGAAGACCTCCGTTGTTGCCGTCCTTTTTGACCTGGAAAAGGCTTACGACACCACTTGGCGTTATCATATCCTATCTCAACTTCATTCTTTTGGCCTTCGTGGTCATCTCCCTCTCTTTCTCTGCAGCTTCCTCTCTCGTCGTTCCTTTCGGGTGCGCCTTGGTACCGCTCTCTCTCCCTCTTTTCAGCAATACGAAGGTGTGCCCCAGGGTAGTGTTCTGAGCACTACTCTTTTTTCTGGTTGCCCTCAATGGTCTTCTTTCCTCTCTTCCTTCTGGTGTCTTCTCCGCTCTCTATGTCGATGATCTTACCCTTTGTTGTCAGGGTGATGATTCGCCTCTCCTTCAACGCCGGCTTCAACTTGCAATTGATGCCGTGTCGTCTTGGGCCACAGATCATGGCTTAAAGTTCTCTACTTCTAAGACTTGTGCCATGACTTTTACGCGGAAACGGGTTGTTCTTCGTCCCTCTTTGTCACTTTATGGTCAT